CTATCAACTTTTCTGAAACAATCTCAGTTGATTAAATGAAGCTGAGTGACAGACAATTCACTAATTGTGTAACAAATATATTAATTCTGTACAAAATCCCAAAGAGTAAATGAAGTACTTTCCACATGTGTATTGCATGTGGACACAAGTAAATGGAGGTTTTAATTGCTTGTTTTATGTAGAGCATTCAATACTGAGATACTGTTAAGAAATAGGACCAATCCAAGGTAATATATTGTAAACTGTTGAAGGAATTAAAAAAAGGGAGGGGGGAGCTTATTGCTTGCTAGATAGTTATTCAGAACTGTTAACATTTTGTGTTATTTGATCCTTCTGAAGAATTATTTATAAAAATAATCTTCATCTTGGAATAAAAATTTGAGGAAGGCTAGCTCTCTCGGCTCCAGTACAGAAAAGAATCCCTATTCAACAGTACTTACACACATGCTTAAACTTTAACTTAACAGGGATAGAGTTAAGCACATGCTTAAGTACTTTCCTGAATTGGGGGGCCTCTAGTCAGGATGTTAATGATAATTCAAACTTCACAAATCTCCTGCAAATTTACCTCTAAATACTTCATGAGGTTGGTAGTTTTCCTACAAAATTAGAAGGATACAGCCAATTTTATCACCTCTAGGTAACTCTTAATATGTGACATTATTAGAATAGCTGTTCTGATGGGATTTTCAATTAAAACTACTTTGAATGATGGTCAACAGCACATATAAGATCAATAAGAAATGTACAAATGTAGAGAAAATGAGGGAGACATAAACAAGAAAGAAAGTGAGACCTAGGAGAAATGAAGAGAAAAATGAATCCAGAAAGGCATAGAGAGAGAGAAATCCATTGTAGTCACAAGAAACAGGACACCAAAATAGAAACCAAGGAAATTTAAGTGGCAAGAGGAAGGAATGAATTTTCAAAGTGAACAAAATGCACAATTAAAAATAGAAAGCAGACTGGAACAAAATGAATAGAAAATAGAAAGGGGTAAGGAAAGTGATGAAGAGAGACCTGGAGAAAGTCTGGAGAAAGGAAGTCATGCAGAAGAAGAAGCAAGGAAGGGGAAAGAAGAAAAACTCTGAACAGAAAGAACAGTGGAAAGACAAAGTCAGTGAAAATTTGCTCCCAGATCAGCATGGTGGATCTATACTCAGATATTCTTTTCTCCCAATATTACCACTGATGTGATATTAGCAGCACAAATTCAGCTGCACTCACCACTGCTTAGGCACTAAGTAGCTTGATTTAGTCAATAAAAGAGGCTAACGTTTAGCCGCTTGTAGTTGGTCAGAATAAAAAGACTTCAGTGAAAAAAACAAACCAAAACTAAAAAACTACAACATGTGACCTTAACTTCACCATTCAGTCTCATTGTTTTTCCATCATCAACCCGTCCTCCCCCTACTTCTGTCTGTGTCTTCTCTATTTAGGATAGGATTTTCATATGCATTCAGCATTGCCTTAATTCTGCTCCCATTGAAGCTGATTTCAACAGGAACAGAATTAGTCTCATTAGAGTTGGTATGGCAACACCCATTTTTTTATGTTCTCTGTGAATATATATATCTTCCTACTGTATTTTCCACTGCATGCATCTGTTGAAGTGGGCTTTAGCCCATGAAAGCTTATGCTCAAATAAATTTGTTAGTCTCTAAGGTGTCACAAGTACTCCTCGTTCTTTTTGCGGATACAGACTAACACGGCTACCACTCTGAAACCCTCACTGAGAAGCTGCTGGTAAAATGCTCTGGCATCACCATCCAAAAGCACTGTTAGGTACTATGCAGTTGAAGAAACTGATGAGTGCACATACAGGCACATACTGGTGGCTATTGGAGATTGAAAGTGAAATGAAAGGGAAACCAGGTATTCAGGTACAGAACTGGAGTTTCTGACTATTGTGGAGTCCCTCAAGGCTTATTGTCCCTATTTACTAAGCATGAAATCACTGTCTATACGAAGCATGTACCATGAAGTGGGTCCTTATGAAGCACAACCCAGAAGCATGCCTGTGGAGATGGATTCAAAAGCTTTCTGACAATAAATTCACAGTTCATGATAAACCTGGAAAGCAAAGTTTGGTTGCAGATGCTCTCAGCTAGGTGAGGGCAATGAGAATAGACTCAGCCTGGTCTCATGGGGACATCTGTCAAGAACAGTCTAAGGACTCTGAGTTACGTTCAGTGTGCCAACTGATCTACTGAAGGAGCCCCAGACTGGGTAGGTTCAATGCACTCAGGAGCAATTCCGCATTGATCCGGCTGGTGTAGGAAGGTAACAGGATCGTATAGCTAGCAAGCATACAGAGAACAGTGCTGGAGTGTCGTCATGACAACAAAGTGGCAGTACACATGTGATATGAAATGACTCTGAGCTGAGTATCCGACAGAGCTTTTTGGCTGGGCATGACTGCAGATGCTGAGGAATTGGTTTTTCCCTGTTAAGAAAGGAAAGTGCCAGCAAGAAAAGGCAGAACTGCTTTAGGGGAAATGCCCCAAACTACTAAGCCCTGGCAGTTCAGAAACACCATATGGAAACTGGCATTTGCTGGTAGCATATGATACCTTCTCTAAGTATGTGATGGTGCAACCACTGAAGGATAAAAGGACTGAGATAATTACAGATGCATTGATGAAACATATAGTATTGCATCTGCAGTGATCAGGAGAAGGAATGAATCATGGTTATTACACAAGATTTGCTGACAACTCCAGATAACCAAGATGAGGACTGATGTTGCCACGCTGTGAGTAATGGGGGAGTGGAAGGAGTAAATCTGCACCATTGGTTCTGTGCTTAGAGTCTTAGTGAAGAGCAGCAAGACTGGGACACAGTCACCTTTTGTCGTCTTTGCATTTAAGAGCATCCAGTGCTCAACTATCCATTACTCGCCTTGTGTGATTTATTTTGGACTCTGCATACTCATGAGTTCCTGTGACTTCATGTTCATGCAGCAAGAACTGGCCAGGCCCCCTACACCTACACAGGTGGGTGAAGTGGCAGAGTCTTATATCAGTGACCTGAGGAGGAACAGATGCACTGGAAGCAAGCATGCCAGGCACAAGATGACAGGGAAAAGGAAAAGTATTTGTCCATTCAGGAAGGAAAGAAGGTGTGGCTATGCAACTGGAAAAAGCAGCCTGGAAAAAAATCCCAAATGTACTCCTTTTTGAAGGGGACCTTAAATAGTGATTACAAATATATCTCCTCACTATATGTTCCATTCTATGCATCTGATGAAGTGGGCTGTAGCCCATGAAAGCTTATGCTCAAATAAATTTGTCAGTCTCTAAGGTGCCAGAAGTACGCCTGTTCTTTTTGCGGATACAGACTAACACGGCTGCTACTCTGAAAACTAAACAATGTATCCTTGGTGATACAAAAAGCAAAAGCTCTTTTCTTTGTAGTGAATTGATTTCTTGTGCACAGATTCATTGAAATAAAGGGGAAGGCAAACACCGAGGATGCTCAACAACTATCTCAGAGGGATGCAAAGAGGATTTGCAGATACCCCAGCAGGTTCCTGTGGCTCATAATGAGAGACTGGATGTGAAGAAGGAATTGCTGGGATGTTCTTAGGACCTCAACACACACTGTCTTCAACAGAAATCTGCCCACAATAGATAGGCCTGCCCTAGAGGACATGAACCCTGCACTCACTGATAATCCTGAGCCAACTGAGAATGATGTGTTCATGACTGACTGTTGGACTCAAGTGGGTGGACCAACACAGAAACCTGCATGGATGGCAGACTGCCTGGATTCCTAGGAGTTACTGCTTATTTAGCTAGCAGGGAAAGTTGGAATGTTTAGTGTAGATGGCACTTGCAGCAGTAGATAGTATTATATCTTTATTTTAGTATTCAGTTGTTATTGTTTTGACCTGGGGAGTTAGCAGAAGTTCATTTCTGCCTGTGTGTACTGGAGTTGATACTTGCAGTGTCCCAATAAATCTCTGTGATTCTATAAGTTAATATTACAATATATTACTTCATGAGAGTGGATAGTATTATATTTTCTAGATTTTGTTAGTGATCATTTTTGTGGGTTAGAAAGTTTTGCTTTCTTTTTGAAGATAAGGGATTGGAAGACATGGTTCCCATCCAAAACAGCTTACTGTATACATATTAGATGTGTCACAATTAGCAAGGCTGACAAACAATAGAGAGGGAACAGGATGTGGAAGTGTGAGTTACAGAAGTGCAATGACATGGATGGTCAGCTTACACAGGTGCATATCTTGGGCTGCATCTGCACTATAAGGTGGGATGTGATTCCCCTATTTGTGTACACATACTCAGGCTAGCTCTCTTGGAGCTAGTGCGAGTATAAATAGCAGTATAGCTGTGGTAGCATGGTTAGAAGAGGAATTGCTGAGCTGCACTGAGTAAATACCCACTGGTTTCAGGCAGGTTTGTACTCAGCACAGCTCAGCTGTGCCTCCACTCCTATTGCCAGTGATATCATGCTACACTGCTATTTACACTCATGCCAGTTCGATGAGAGCTAGCGCGAGTATGTGTGCATAAGAAGGGAATCATACCCCTAGCTTGTAGTGTAGACATCGCCTTAGTAGTTCATCATGATTTTTCCTCTCTTCCTTTCTGGTGTTAAAAATAAAGATGATAAAGATAAGCTATTATCAGAAAAACACAATTTTCTTCATAGCAAGTCTTTGCCAAGCAGAGTTTAGAGTTGTACTAAATTTGCATTTGAGATCTGGAAACAAGATTTAATTTTAAAAGCTGGTACACTAAATGAATCTTTTATTGTGCAGTGTCTTTCCCCTTAAATCACAATATTCACTAATGGCATTTTCAGTCAGATAATGCCAGGAAAAGAAAAACTGAGAGATTAGCAAGTATTTAGTATGTAATGCTGTGCATATTCAGTTAAATGCAACTTGCTAAGAGAGGCTGTGACTAAAATGCATAAGTCATGCCTTATAAAGTTTTATTGTACTTTCTCTTTTCTTTCTCTTTTTAAAACAGCTATTGCTTAAGAGTAGAGCTGTCTAACACATTTGTGGTGAGTAATATTAAATGGAGCACCTTTTTTGTGTTCATGAACTGTCCCTGATTTCTGAAAAATGTATTCGTTATTTGTATCTATTCACAGCATAGATTGCTTAAGCAATTTTGACTTATATATTGCTTGCCAACCATGCAATATGTCTATGTTATTAGTTATTTATGGCATGGGACTGGTTACCTCAGCCTGGCACAGTTCTGCTTTCCTGACTGGATAACTGAGATTTATAAAAGAATGCTGAACAACTAATAGTCTTGTTCATGCACAAATAAAGGCGCAAATAGAACAACCAATTGGTGACATTGATTGTCTTTAAAGTTTCAGTGGAAACCTTTAGAAAACCAGAAAAGTTTGAAAAAAATATTTTCACCAAAAATTCCAATGTTTTAAACTAGGTAATTTATGGATGAACAGATTGTTTTGTTCCAAATCATTTTGATTAGTTCCTCTAGGCACTGAGCACGTTGCGATCCCATGGTAGTCAATGCAGGGGAGGGTACTCAGCAACTCCAGGATCAGGCATTAAACCAATTATGCCTAGTCTGCAACTCATTTATAAACAATCTGAACATGAACTGTACTTAAACCTATTGTCTGCTAACTCCTTGCCAATGCAGATATGGTCAAAATAAGTAAGGGTCAAATCTAGTCTAGAACATCATCTAACCTGTGAAAAGTTTCAGAAGAGGAATTATAGTACCCCATAATGTGTTCTGTACAATGGTTTATGCCCAGTCAACACTGGACATGTTCTTGGGGAGACTTTGCTAGCCAGTGCCCTCTTGTGGCTGTACACAGTGTCACCACAATTCTGCTTTACTTTCCCTACACAATACTAACAGTTGTTGGGTCCTGTGCCTGACAGCTTTCCCTTATGACTCCAGCCAGGTAATTTATAGTATTTACCCAGAAGGTGAGAGGAGTCTGATAGACTCTGAGTCCAATGATCTCAGCAAAAGATCAATAATCCCAGGCCCTGCAGAGTCTTGATCCCTTTTGTTTTAAGGGGTTTGACCATCCCCTTTGCGCTCTCTGGGTTCCAGCCAAAGGACCCTGCATTAAGCAGCTGGGACCAGTTCCTTACAATCCTTTCTGCTTCCCTGGGCAGCTTCCCATTTCACCTCCCTTGTAGGCCTTTTCCATACTCACATTCTCTGATTCTCCCTCTATGGAAATCCAACTTCCTGGATAGTTTCCTGCCAGTTGGCTGCTGAAGGAGTCTCCTCTTTGTAGTCTCTCTGACAACCACCCTCTCCTCTGTTCTGCAGTCTTCTTATCCCCCAGCCATTAGTTGCAGTTGAGGAGATAGTGAGTCTACTCATTAACCCCTTAGTAGCCGTGGTACGATGGGTGCTATATACCCCATAATGACATGTACACTGTGTTAACAGCAGTTCAACTAACATGGTTTTCTTGTTAGTGAAGACTATTGCCTTCTCCATTCCTTTCCTTTGCACTCTTAATAATAATAATATATGGAGATATGCCTATCTCCTAGAACTGGAAGGGACCCCAAAAGGTCATTGAGTCCAGTCCCCTGCCTTCACTAGCAGGACCAAGTACTGATTTTTCCCTAGATCCCTAAGTGGCCCCCTCAAGGATTAAGCTCACAACCCTGGGTTTAGAAGGCCAATGCTCAAACCACTGAGCTAGCCCTCCCTTCTTCAGTGTCCCTTGCTTATTCTGAAGATACAGTACTCATTAAGAAGCTGATTGTACAAGGTACTGCATGTCCTCAGGTCTTACTTACGCCATTGGGAATTAAGGACAATATTTAATTAAACCTTGACAAACTGACAAGCATTTTCTAATGGTGGGAATTTTTAAATCAGGGAGAGAAAGGGAAACAAATATCTCAGAAATTGGTGTCACGCTGTTACTAAATGCATTCATCTATTCACCCATTCATCTATAGGTTCTTCTTCTACTGCACTATTATCCTACAGTCTGAGAGCTGTGTTTGTTGTAGTCCCGTAACTGTACTAAACTACAGACTCTGGCACTTCTTTTGGAAGTATGAATTCAAAGTTAGAGAGTCATGTTATCTACTGTCAACTTTACCTGTAAGTATGAAATAATTATTCATTTTCAAGGATAATGTAAGGCCCAATCTGAAGTCTAGAAATGCCTTAAAATCCAATATATATTTTCCGTGAACCTCTGTTTTCTGTTTGGTAGAGTTAAAAACATATTAGGAGCCAAATTCTAAGTTTAGCTATATTGGTATAAATTCTGAGTAACTCCACTGAAGTCACTGACCTAAGTGTCCTACTGTTGTAACACTAGTATGTACACAGTTCACCATTTGTCCATGCAAATGAATTATTTGTCTGTGCTTGCACATATTTTGTATGTACAAAAACCCACTGTAAACAGAGGCCAGATTGCGTATTGCTGTCATTAATGAATTAGGATTAGTGTCACATAAGGATGAAAGTAGGTTCTGTAATAAAATTTCCCTTTTTCCTTTATGAAAGCCACCTGGGGAAGCTGGCTGAAAAATTGTTCAACCGCATGATCACATTTCTGCTGAGGCAGACAAAAGAGTGGGAGGTTGTTTGTCAGCTTTCGATGGGCAGAATTGTAGCATTCTGGAATATTTCCGCTGATCACAGTGCTTTAATAACAACAAACACAGGTGCATCTGGTTTTTAGCTTTATCTTCTTGTTTTGCCTAAACTAATGCTTAAATTTCAATACAGTTAATCAAATAAGTGGCTCCCTTTATTGTAAGAAATCTCATGAAAGTAGTTATCTTACCCAATTGTCATAGAATTTTTTTTATTATAAAAATAGCATTTTTATTTCCCTTTTATCCCCACTCACTTGATGATGCAGTGCTCCTGTTTATGTACTTTACCATCTAATAATCCCAAAAACTGTGAAAATTATTCCTACTACTATTATTTGTATTACACCAGCTGAGATTGGGGGCCCATTGTGCTAGGGACATTGTAAGAGACAGTCACTGTTCTAAAATTCTTACAATCTAAACAGACAAGACAAACAAAGGATAGCAGGGGAAATACAGCCACAGAGAGGTGACATGACCTGTTCATGGACAATGCAGTTTAGTGGAGCCAGGAATAGAATGCAGCTCTGCTGAGTCCCGGCCGAGTGTCTTGTCCACAGATTTTGTTGCTTCTGAAATTTCATTTGTTATCGGGAGGCAACCAATAGACCGTCTTTTAAGTAGATCTGTACAACTAGAATGAAAAGTTATCCATGAGCACTCAGTGAGATTCAGGGTAAGCATGTCCTGCAGCGAGAACATGGGTATTCACCATGAAAATGCTCACATGGCCAAATTAGTGTTATCTTTGTAGGTCTGGGAGTAAAAATATTAGTTAGCAGAGATTTACAATAGGAGGGGGATAGACTGGGGAACGGTTTTACGTCCAGTGACATTTTTGCTCACATTGCAGCAAAAGAGTATTGTGCAAGGTGTCTGGATGTAGCAACTGATAGGGGAGAAGGAATTGACACCTGTTGAGTAGGATGGTTTCCTATATACTTATGGGCTTTATACTGTCTCCCATCAACATAGTATTTGAGGGCCTTTCACAAAAAAATCAACACCAACCGCCAAGTCCCTAGTGTATTTCATGGAGTCTCCGGCACTTCTCCCTTTTCAGGGTAAAACATCTCCTTGGGTTAGGGTTTTGGGGGTTTTAAAGGTTATTAACTTATTTTTTGCTAAGGTTGACTTATTTCAGGGTTATTCTGTTGTTAGTTTTAGTTGGGGATTTGGGATAGAAGAAGAGGTCATTCTTGTGGTGGAATTTTATGGCTACCCTGCTGCTGTGGCAGATCCTGTTCCTGCTGTTGAGTAGGATGGGATGGCATGCAGACTAAATATGAACCCAGCAGCAAAGCCCTGGATACCTATAGTTTAGTGTGTGTGTAATCTGGATCTAGAGTAGAGCTTGTTGGAACATTTTCACTGATTTCACTTTAGTGAAATATGCTGTTTCATCCAAGACAAAATGTTTCACAGTGGGTTTTTTGCATCAATGGAGACAGAGACTGAAGCTCTGACTCTATATCTTGGAGGTTAGGAGTTCTGGGCTGGGGGTGACCCAGGGGCAGGTCCTTGCTCTGCCTCATTTGAAGTGATGCTGGATGCAAATCTCTGCTCTGAATGAGACAGAAGAGGGGCATGACCTTGATCCTGAGTCTCCCAGGCCAGTGCTGTAACCCCACTCCTCTCTTGACATAATTATGTTCCTACAAAACCATTAGAAAGAATCTGGTTTTGTTCCAGTGTGGAATGAGAACAAATTTTGAAATCTCAGAAGTTGCTGCAAAATGGAATTGTCATCCTCTGGTCAACTCTAATCAAGACCTCAATTTTTGTGGCTGATGAGAGAGAGAGAGCTCTGATTTGAAACCAGTTATGTATCCTACCCTGTGTTTTGTATTAGATACCATGACAATCACAGTGATTTTTATCAGGTTATATTGGTGATTTACTATTTATAAAAACGATTACCAGAAACACATCCTTAGTTCTTCTAACCAATGGATTTTGCAGCTTAAAAATCTGACATGGCATATTTAGTTTTCTTATAACATTTCTTTTATACATCATGATCCAAATTCAGTGCTGGCTTGCCCATCTAAATGGGACTGAACAGTGCAATGACAGAATTTGTTCTATACTTTAGTATTTATCCTACTTAGCTGATTGAAAATTTATATTGGAAAATAGGAATTCTAGAATGAAATGTTTAGGGAAAAACTCAGAGTCCACTGAACATGGAAAGATTGAGTGAGATGAAATTTTTTTAGTTTTAAAGGAATGGATAAAAACTGGAAATATAAAATCATGTTACATTCACCTGAACTTAAAAGACAAAACTGAAATAAGATTCACTGAAGTTTATAGTTCTTAGGCTCTCAGAACCATTGCAACTATTGCAGGCTTACAACCTGATTCCAGCTTTAAGTAAATCTCTTTTTAGAACTAAAATGATGCAAAATTCACATCTTTGCAAGGTCCACATGATACTAGGTGAACTGAATAGTCATGAATGAGGGGCAGATGTGATTGGAGTCAGCAGGAGTTGAGTGGATGGGAGGCAGAAGACTGTTTTCTAATTCCAACTTTGTCAATGACCTTGTGGTGTGATTTCAGACAAGTCACTTATTCAATAGTTACCCATCTGTAAAATATAAATAATAATACCTTAGAGAGGCATGTTAGCGCTATGGGAGCAAGTGCTAAATATTATAATGAACGGAGTTCACTAGAACCTTAAAATCAAAGCTCAGGAGATGTGAACCCCCAGAGAAGGAATTAAAAAAAAACATTTTTGCATCTACTTCAAACCAACAAGTCTTACAGAACTTTACTCCCAAATCATTATCCAGTCTAGCTTGTATATCACAGTAGGCTGGAGCTTCCCAGCACACAGAGGGAGTAAACACACTACTATACCCCTTTAGGGGGTACACGTTTCTTTCCGGTGTTGCTTCAAGTTCCACTCTGCAGGCTGGTGTTTCCCTACCTTGTCCTCCCCAGCTCCTTTCCTTGTACATCCTGTGCCCTAACATAGCAGTGAAAGATCAGTCCATTCTGCCTGTATCTTGAGTGTGCCAGGAAAGGGGTGTGAAGGCTTCACCTGACCTCCCCACCCACTATGCCTCTGGACAAGGGCTTCTTAGAATCTAGCCCTTTGTTTTGTTGTTTCAAAGACTAAAAAAAGTTGTTTATTGCATTTAAAGAAAAGCTCTCTTGTCTATTTTCTATACATGAGCAATGACGCTCAATCAAGTCCTGGAAATCTTACACGTTTTAATTAGAGAAATGGGTAGAACTGGTTTGGCAAATGTAAGGCAGCTACAAACTTGGGATGTTTGGGATGCTTTCTTATCTGGCCTTCAAATCCATGTTCAAAGCACAGATCCTGAGTGGTATAATTCACCACACTAGAACCATGTATCTACCTACATCTACCATCTGCTTTAGTCAGCTATGTACAATCATGATTCAGTCTAATGTTGAGTATTTGAAGAAAATCTGTATTACAGTCCACATCACTTCTAAATTCATTTTTAAATTAATCAGATCATTAAGTTAATGTATTAGTCATCAGATCAGATCTAAATTCCCATCTTAATATCTGCTGATGGATAAACATGTAGAGTTTCATATATAAAACATTATTTTAAAATGCTCCAGGAAAACTATATGGACTGTATTTTCATGCAGAGTCTGTCCCTATTGTTTTCCTGTAACTTAACTTACCTACTTTTTAGGGGTGTTGTAAGGTTTCATTAATTAATGTCTCTAAAGAGTTTTGAAATTCTCCGATGAAAGGTTGTATAGAAAGCCAACATTATTATAATATAATTTCATTGTTCTCATTAGGGAACACAAGATTAGAATGGAAAATCTGGCAGTCTCTCTGCTCTTTAATGTAGTGAATATGACAATAATACATTTTTCTTTATGTTGCACAGTGCTACCCATTTATTAACATATTAGCAACAACCATCTTGGATATATGAATATACTCACTGTACTTTTTTACCCATTTTTCACATGTATGCAAAACAAGGAACATATCATAGGGAAACAAAGGGAAGGTGCAATATGTAGGAACAAAGAATATCAGGGTTGAAAGGGACCCCAGGAGGTCATGTAGTCCAATCCCCTGCTCAAAGCAGGACCAATCCCAGTTAGATTTTTGCCCCAAATCTTTAAATGGTCCCCTCAAAGATTGAACTCACAACCCTGGGTTTAACAGGCCAATGCTCAAACCACTGAGCTATCCCCCCCAATGCAGGCTGCAGCTTTGAAATGAGGGACTATAGCCTATAAAGCAGTGACTCTGAAAAGGATTTAGGAATCATAAGGGAAAAACATCTCAACATGAGTTCCACATGCTGTGCTGTGGCAAAAAGGATTAAGGTGATCCTTGGATGCATAAACAGGGAACTTGTAGATAAGAGTAGGGAGGCAGTTTTACCTCCGTATATGGCATTGGTGAGACTTAAACTGGAATATTGCATCTTGTCCCGGTGTCCACATTTTAAAAAGGTTGAAATGTTTTGCCTTGATTTCAACTTTTATTTTTTACACTTTTGTACTATAAATTAACGTAAATTTCAAAAAGAAAAACCTTTCTGAACAACAACAACAACAACAAAAAATGGAACTTTTCATTTAAAAAATTGAACATTTTGACAATTTCTAAAGTTTTGGCCAAAAATTTTGAAATGAGAAATGTATTGAAATGGAATCTTTCATGAAAAGTTGGGATTTTGATTAATTAAAAATTCCTGACCCACTGTAATATACAGTCACTAGTAAAATGGAGCCCCAATCCCTAAATGGGGCCCCAAAGAAGAAATGTCCAGTGGTTAAGATGCTAGACTAGGATTCAGTACATCCAGGTTCAACACTCTTCTTGGCCACAGACTTACTTTAACCTTGGACAAGTCACTTAGTTGCCTAAATACCTGGCCCTAAAGATGCAAATAGATACCTATTAGGATTTACAAAAGTGTTTAGGTTCCTAATTTCCATTGATTTCAACTCTGAAAATCCCACTAGGTGCCTATCTGCATCTTTAGGTGTCTGAATACCTTTAAAATCTGGGCTTTAGTTCCTCTGTTCCCCATCTGTAGAATAACACTACTACTTCTCTACCTCACAGGAGCATTGTGAGGATAAATATATTAAAGATTGTGACGGGCTCAGATTCTACAATAATGGAGGCCATAAAATTAGCTATATCAGATACTACGTAAATACAAATTGTAACAACAATGGATTTAAAAAAAAAAAAGTTTCCTGATAGAGATATCAGAAGATTTACAGATTAAAAAAATAATCTAATTTTTTTGCCTAAACAGATCTTCCTTCAAAATATGTTGGGCAATAAAGAAACTGGTAAAAGAGAAGATAAGGATAGTTGCAGAGGTTAAAAGAGGCAGATCACAAGAAGTGTATACAGTCTCAGGCTTAATGGCTTTTCACGTTTGCCTGGCATAGCCAGAGCTCTGAAGATTATATGACTTTCACTGCAAGGCAATTGATAGCAGAGTCTGTTTTATGAACACACAATATGGAAACTGCATGTGATGCGGCAAGAAAAGAAGGTAACAGTGGAGGAGACGGGCTCATATTGCTATTTTTTGCAAAGATGCTTGTTTTTACATATGCAGTAGGTTGATTTGTGATGGCGAAGAACTAACATTCTGCCACATGTTGTCTTTGATGTGGACATAGAAAGAAGGAGACAGAGACACTGTAATATACTTAAGTGAGGAGTATGCTGTGATAAATGAAGTGGGTGGGGGGTAGCTCCCTTTTATGGACATCCAACCAGCCAGTTAGCTATAAAGTCCATCTTGGTGGCTGCTTGCTTTACCTGTAAAGGGTTAAAAAGTCCCCCAGGTAAAGAAAAGGGAGTGGGCACCTGACCAAAAGAGACTTTGGGAAGGCTAGAACTTCTTAAAATTTCCCTTTGTGTTCTGTGTTGCTCTCTGGAGAGAGAACAGAGCAAAGTCAGGGCTATGACTATGCTGTGAAAAGCTTTTTGCCAGGTATGGAAATCATCAGATTATACCTAGAACAACCCAAATACGTAAGTAGCTCAGGAAATGTCTAGAAAGACGCGATTAGGTTTATTTCTTTTATTTTCTGTAAGGCTTGTGGACTCCTCTGTGCTAACTCCAGATGCTTTTGTTTTCTTGTAACCTTTAAGCTGAACCCCCAAGAAAGCTATTTGGGGTACTTAATTTTTGGAATTGCTCTTTTAAAATCTAGCAAAAGCCTAAATTCTAGATGTATTTTCTTTCTTTTTAGTTTTAATAAAATTTACCTTTTTTAAGAACAGGATTGGATTTTTGGTGTCCTAAGAGGTTTGTACATATGTTGTTAAATTAGCTGGTGGCAGGAGCTAATTTCCTTTGTTTTCTTTCTCGGCTTCCCCGAGGGAGGGGTGGAAAAGCCAAGGAACCTCAGGGAAAACTTCCCAAGTGAGTCTTTCCAGGATTTGCAAGAGGCAGTTTTTCACTTGGGTGGTGGCAGCATTTACCAAGCCAAGATCAGAGAAAAGCTGTAACCTGCGGAGTTTAATACAAGCCTGGAGTTGCAAGTATTAATTTTTAGAATCCTTGCAGGCCCCCACCTTCTGCACTCGAAGTGCCAGAGCGGGGAATCAGCTTTGACATATGCATGCCGAAATGCCCAGCAGGGTTGTTCCAATGCAGATCTCAATAAGCACTGGTGGCACTAGAGTACTTAAACCTCAGAGTGAGTATGTAGGCCATGCCCCTTCTACACCCTCAGGCCTGCCAAAGGACCCTGCCTGGAAGTCAGAGTATTGAACTGCTCCCCTCCTCCACACTAGAGATAGGAGAGAAAGGATGAGAAGAACCACAAGCTACATGAGACACAGAGGCAAACCCCTCACCATGCCATATGAGTGCCCAAAACTGATGCCCAAACAGCCCACTGCATTACTAGGATCTCAGTTGGACTCTTTCTAATGAATGCACCAACTACACTGGAACCCACCAAAGTTGTGACAATTGTAATTTAAACCATTAGGCTGGACCTCCTGTGTTCTGGGTGGAAGGTGAAAAAACCCATAAAGCAGTTTGCAAATTTTGCCTTATGGAAAAAATCCCTTTCAGATCCCAAAACTAGTCATCAGGCAAGTCCCCAGTGTTACCAGAGATCCAGCAACTAGAAAAATATTGTGGAAGGTGGGACTGAAATAGGGAACCCCAATGGCTACCCTGTCTTGCCAACAAACTGCATCAGCACTCCTCATGCTCCACTACCAACAAATGGGAGCCAATCATCCAGCCCCATCATCACCCCCAGCACCCAAAGGCAACAAAGTTGGGTGACGCAGGCCCCAGAGTCCAGGCCCAGATGCAGCATGTGACCCCGACCTTCTCCTACCCACACCCCTCCCACTCAGCACGAGGAAGGAAGAGAAGAAGGTGGTTCCACTTGCTAAAGGCAAAAGAGGGAGGGAAGGAAAGGAGAGAAGTCACTTAAAACATGGCGTCACCTGCTCCCAATGGAGAACTCTCCCCTCCCCCTCTTGCCCCAGGAGGTGTCTCCACTGCTCCCAGCCCCATCAAAGCTGCATCCTGGTTAGCATCATGAGCATTTGTAAATTCTAAATACATTAGATCACATTTTTTAACTCTCAAACTCCTTAATAATGTCTTCCATCCTAAAAAAAAAAGGATGAAAATGCAAAATTAAGAACAAATTAAAATATAATAAGAGCAAATCCATTAAAATAACTGACTTGTAGAGAAACATTCTGTTCAAATGTAAAAGGGTTAGGTTAGGATATAATTGGAGGAGTAATTGCTATTTTAATAAGCATTAGAAATACTTTGTATGTACTGCATCACATGGCAGATTGGTATGGTAATTACCAAGCAATTTTCCAGAAGTGAGTATACAGTGAATGTCATTCTTAAATAGCCATGTAATTAGTACAAAAACTTCTCATTCATATATGCTCTGCGCAGCTACACCTAACCATTTTTCTTCACCTCAAATAATAAAATGCAATTTTATTTTTTGGAATGTGTCTTTTCACTCCTATTTGGTGTCATTCTTGTTGGGGTCTGTGATGCATTGAATTCATGATGGAGAAATAACCATTTGCAAGACACATGTAATTGCAATGACTTTAAGTCACATATAGCTTAACTGAAAATTGGGCATGCCCCACTTCCTTTGAATAAAGAGTGCAAAAACCCCATTTAACAAATGTATAATTTTTTAACGAAGTGGGCTCAATACTGTTTCAGGTTAGTTCCCCCAATGAATGGTGTTCGGGCAATCAATTCAAATATTCATTTTCTGCCTCAACTAATGTGGTTACAAATTTGCAGTGTGGTTTAAATAGGTAACTTTCTAATTAGTTTTTTTGCCTAATTTTAGCATAGCTATTTGCAAAGAAATTCAACAGTAAAGTACACTTACATTTTCATTTGTGGGGGTGACAAGCAATGGGTACTGCATATATTACTTGGTACCTTAATAAATGGATGGAATGACCCTCTGTCTGAAGTTATTTAATATTAATCATTTTGTCTTCTACAGCAATGGATACAGCACTTGGTGTTTTCAGACATTTTCTTTTCACTGTCTCAAACCAGTAACTACTAAAATACTAAATATTTACATAAACATATACTGGGAAATTTATTAGACATAACTTCCTTACTATGTGTGCAAATTTATTAATCAGACTGACGTGTATAATGCTTTTGGGACCTATTCAAGAAAGCATTTAAGCATGTGCTTAACTTTAACTGCATGTTTCAGTCCCACTGGCTTCCTGAATTGAGGCTTGTGTGTGTTCATGTTCTACTCCTGAGAGTCTTTCTGAAGTCAAGCCACTGCAGATCTCAAGTGGGTCTTGCTCCAGTTAAGTTCTGTAAAAGTTCATTTTGCAGAAGATTCAGACCCGTGCAGAATCTGCTGCAGTTTTTTCTTCACCAGAATTTCTAGTGGTGATGAAGGTACAGTATGTATCATTTTAGCATTTTAGCCCCCTTTTCAGTTTCAAGTAATCAGAATGATTTATTTTATCCATAAATATATTTTGAAAGCTCTACCTTTCTTCTCAATTCACCCCCACAAGGATTGCTATCTGATTTGGTGATACAGAGAAATCCAAGTTTCTGATGCAATTCAGAAAATCATTCCAAACACTTATCAGGTGTATTATTTTTCAGTCATACCTCAGGCTGCAAATCAGGGATCAAGACCCCATTGTGCTAGGCACTGTATTAACATTCAACAAAAAGAGGATACCTGCTCCAAAGAATGTATAATCTAAGACTGATGACTGTTCTTGGTGCAATCTCTATAGGGGCCCCAACTTTCTCCTAACTGGTCCCCTTTAATTCACCTACAGTTAGACCACAGTTCTTAACCTAAATTGAATCTATCAGCCCTTAAACGCAAGAGCTTACAGTCTTATTTTATCTCCTTGTCAGTTTCTTAGCATCAGTCTAACACAGGTACGTTGCCTCTCTGCTATCTCATGCTTCTCCCTTCTTCTTCCTTATAGCTAGGTTTGTTTAATTTATTGGTCACAGCTGAGGGTGCCTGCCTCCATGATTGGCACTTCTGACAGCTCTATGGAGAGTGATCAGCCTGATTGCGTGTAATCAAGGAAGACACTCCTTTTTCTTCTGCTCCTATACTCAGTATGGGGTTTGTAAACCCCATTACAGAGACACAACCAGTGGCTACAACAAACAGATGAAGGGGGAGCACAAGGTAACAAAGACTAGTATAATGTCAAGCAAAGTACTTAACCTCAAAAAGTTTTCTGGAGGTTGATTAGAATGCGAGATAAATTCTGTGACGAAAGTTCCATTAATGTTCAGGATGCATTTTATAAGCATATTTTGAATTTGAGTTTTGGATCATGTATGTCCCTCCTAATCAAGGGAAGAAAGTACTGGGCACAGTTAGTTTACACAGTGCTGTGCATTTAAAGGAACACTGCATATCACCACTCCATACACTCCATATCACCAGGTGCATACATGAATTTTATTGCATCTGACCCTGCCAGTAGTGGCCTTGACTTAAATGGGACCACTCATGTGAGTAAACGTTACAGGACTGGGCTGTAATTATACTGATAGGTATTTGTTCCATTCATCACCACCATTTTGCATTATCTCAAAAGCTGTCTAAGGAAAACATAAAAAATAGTCCTGAACTCAGAACCTTCTTCTCAACAGTAGGCTGATAATGCCTTGCCCCAGCAAAATTTATTGTAGGGTTTTCCCCACTTACTATACC